ATATATATATATATATATATATATATATATATTACAACAATACATTTCAAAAAGTAATAATTTTCTTATAATAATATCTGTGTCCCTTACTTTTAAGATATATGTTTTAAATATGTGGCTGAGTTTTAAGCATTTTACTTGTAAACATATAAAACATTTTAAACAAGAATAAAGAACACAACTTAAAAAACATTACAATGTCTTATCATTATTAAAACCAAAACTTTTTAAGATTACAACCTGATTATAAATAAGTCTTATCTATCTATCTAATAGTAGTATTTATAACTGTAGTATGAATATGTACCACCCAGATCCTCTGTTATTTAGATCCTTATGCGTCAATAGATCTCTATGCGCAACTAGATCCATAATATCACAGATAAAAAAGAACTTAATTATGTGTGCTAATAAAAATAATTGCAATACTTTGCGTTATTGATAACAAGAAAAATAAATAACAACGATAGGGTGGGTTTTCAAATGTTTTCAAGTTCTATTATCGAGATGACAGAATATCACTATATCATCTATCATCATAGATGACAGTTATCAAGTAATTCGGGGTACTGATCCCGGGAATCTAAGTAATAGGTTAACGTCTAAAACATAGAATAGCCTAATTTTACGTTTGGATGCTATGTTCCCTAGCCCACCTAGTTAAGCCGATACTTTTTCTCATCTATACCAATAAAGGCAAAATTACCAACAAAAATTGTTTAGACATACGTCCTTATGTAACCGAACACTTATATATGGCTCTGTTTACTGAAAATATTGTATAATTTATTAGATTATGGTGAATACTTAACTTATTCCTATAATAAAAATATTGTTATCTTTAAAGGCCAAATCTAATGAGGCTAACATCAACTTCACAAATCATCATTCGTTCAAAGTCAATTCATTTTTATTTCATAAATAATGACTAGGAACAAAATTTATTAAAACCTGTGCAATATTTAAAATAACCTTTTGATATAAACATATTAATATTTATTACCTCCTATTCAGCATCTATAACGATAAAAGTCGAAACAATTATTTCTAAGCTAAATTAAAACAAAAATATTTTTATTGTTAAACCCCCTTAATTAAATCTTTAACACATTTAATGACTCTTTGTGTATTGTGTAATTTTATTTAAATCACGAATAAAAAATATAAACATACATATTCACTTAATATTTTAATATATGATATAGATATCAGATAAATTTTAGATTTTTTCAAAATTAAAACTACATTATATTATTTTCTTATTTTTTTTTTTTTATAATAAACTATTAGAGTGATACACTTGAATGTTATAATTTAATTGTATCACCAGAGTATACTACAACATTAAAAATGTTGATGGTCATTTTTAATTAATATACAAAAATAATTTATGTGATAACAACAATGTATTTTACAAAAAACAAAATAATATAACAGCTAAACTTTACTTTTTAAAATAACAATTTCAATATAAATAACAATAATAATGCAATTATTTATACTATATTAAGTACAATAAATTAATAATACACAACATATAGCATTAGAAAAAACTTATAATTAATGATTTCTAATGCATTACTGCTTCATCTATAATATATTTTATACATAAAATCATTGAACTGATTTAATGGTATTCACAAATCAGGTTTCTATCTCATTTATAATACTTTATTCTTAAAATAGACATTATAAGAAATAACAATACTCTAATTGGGGTAAACATATACTTAATTATTTATAAAAAAATTGACTGAAAAATATTTTAAGTAAATAATTTATATTAAAACTGTTTTATTACAATATAACAAAAAATATAATAAAATTTCACTAAAAAAAATAGTAACAAAATATTAATACTAAACTTAAGCACAAAAATTTAGCATAAGTAGAAAATATTAGATGGAATGTATAAGTTTTATGATAATTTAACTAGTTGATGAATTATAACAGTTTATAATAATAACTCAGTCATCAAAACAGTATAATATAGTGCAAATAATACAACTATTATTTTTTTAAATGTTTCAATCTTAATAATTACATAAATAAGCATACATAATATTATTAATCTCTATTAAGTCATTTTTACAAACTTCCAACCATTAGAAAAATTCTTGTAATAAAAATTTTTAATCATACATAATATAACTTTAAACATTTATAGTAAAAAAATTATTTTGGGGCTATAAGACCAGCAAACATGTCAAAAGAATTTCCATCAGGTCTTACATCTACAATCTCTCCATCTTCAGATCGAACTCTAAGAAAGCCATGATCGTCAAGCCCTATAACTAAAGCTTTAAATGATGTTTTGTTGGGACGTAAAACTGTAACTTCAGTATTGCTGTAAACAGTAAAATTTAAAAAATATTTACTAAATTAATTAACTGCAATATACTTATTAAAATAGCATACCTATGAAGCCAGTACTTATAATAAAGGTCAAATATTATATCCACATTACCATTTTCTACTTGATTTAACAATCTTTCTAACTCACTAAATACAACTCCAAAATACTGCTCATAAGACAATGGTGCCAGTTTATTATTATTTGTGACATTGTATTCTTCAATTACATCATTTATGCATGTTGTTGGTAGACTATTATTTAAATTGACTCCACATCCTTAAAAAAACAATTACTATAAAATATGGGATTTAATATGAATAACATTAATCAAATACTAAAGAACGATTTTTAAAATAGTACCAATAGAACAAATTGCATTATTTCCCACTGCAGAACTACTGATAACTAATCCTCCAATTTTTGCATTTCCTCCAGCATAGATATCATTAGGCCACTTTAATCCTAAGTCAAGTTCCTAAAATAAATATGTCGTTAATCTTACTAGAATATATTTACAATTAAATATTAAATTAAATAATTATAAATAATATTTACATCATAACCACCAGGTAATGAACATATAGCTGATACAACTGATAATGCTACAACATGTTGTAATAATGCTAGCCTTTGACCGAGTTTTGAGTTAAATGGAATATGAAGTTGTATAGAAAACATCGCACAACCATAGGGACTCAACCATTTGTTACCACCTCTTCCTGATTATGAAAATTCAATGAAATTAAAATTATATTATTAGTACTGTACAATATATATCAATAAAAAATATTTTTACCAATTCCAGTTATTTGTTGTTTAGGGATAACTACAAGACCATGTTTTAGTATTGGGTCATGTAAAAGTCTCATCGAAGTTGACATGACATCTCCAAATATTACTATACGTCCTAAATATTCTGTTTGTAGATTCTTTATTTAAACAAAAATCATAAATATTTTCTTAAATAACAATAAAATAAAAAATGTTAAAATTATTTATGATAACTACTTAGTTTAATTTCCCTACTTTCATAAATTAACACTTAATGTTATTCGTTCGTAAATTTAATTACTTTATTGTATTAAGTATAACAAAATCTATAATTTTATAGTATAAAACTTATTTTTTAAATGAGTAATGCACATATTTTTAACTCTAAATAGTAATTATTATGTCTTTAAATTATTCAAACATTAAAAAAAATACATTTTTAGAAATTTCATACAACAAAAAAATTTAGATGCTTAAGGCAAACTTTTAAGACCATCTTTTCTTCAAGGTTATAATCATTATAATAGATAAGGTGTTAATAGTTTAAAGGATCACATTATAAATAATAGGTGTTAGAACAAGGGTATATCTTAAGGTTATAGAAATAAGTGTGGATCCAGAAGACTTTTTTGTAGGGTGGGTATTTTAGTATTTCTTTTAAAATGAAAACCATTTTTCAAAAAGAGGACTTTTTTTTAGAACACAATTTTAATGTTAAGGGAAGACCATTGCTTCCATGACACCTCCATTGTATTTAAGTATGTATAGAAATAACCTGATTGTCATGTTATTCAGCTAATAATAATTTAGGTACCAATGAAATATAAGATTAAACTAAAAATGTTTATAGTTTTAAAATTAAAAAAATATATAACATACTTTAAAATACGCAATTTCATTGAAACTTTTTGGTATATCATCATAAATAATAGGCATTGAATTTTCACCAACATGAATAGAAATCTCATTGCTTTTACAAAACTGTACTTGTAGGTCTTTTAAAAGTAAGACATTGTTTTCAATTCCTTTGCCTTTTAAAGATTGTAAAAATTCATATTTATCCTACAACACAGAAAAATATTTATTTCATAATTTACATGTAAAAATATCTCATAAACCAAAATAAGGATATAAAAGTTATTCTTCGTAACTTAACTTTAAATATGTAAGTTATAAGAATAACTTTTTAATAAATAATCAATTTTACTGGAAGTAAATCATAGAGAATAATATATTTTATAAGTTTTAGTACAATTACTTTATAAATACATTTACTCGTTACAGTTCTAAAGAGAAATTTAATTATGAGTTTATGATTATTTTTTTAGAGTAATACAATTACTTTACCTAAAACAATTCTAAATTAACAATATGTGAGTTTTCTAATTATTCTTTAGTAACTCGAAATTACTAAATAAATGCAATTTTATTACTTATAATATATAATTGTAAAGTAATTTTGTTACAGTGACGAGTAATTTAAGTTACTTTACAACTCGAAAACGCTATAAACTAAGTAATTAATCATATTACATACACTATCATAGCCTAATAAATAGGCTGGAGTATGATTAGGTTCTTGTTCTGATGGCGGTACACTACAATCTAAACCAAGATAAGTGCTTAATAAATCTTTAAGTAATAAATTTCTCTCACTGTTTAAAGAAGAATTATCATTATTGTGTTGAAAATCAATTTCTAAATGAACCTAAAAAATATTTACTATAATTATTAAAATTGATTAAAATATTTTAATAGTATAAATGTACTTGAGAAAAAATAATTCTTCCTCCTGAAGGTACTGTAGCTAAAATGAGACTGGGTGTTTCCCAAGTATCTTCAGCTGCTAAAACTTCTACATTTATTGAATAATGTTTATTATTTGAATCATAAACATCCACAAAATCAAAATCATTTGTTTTTTTTTCACTAATTAAAAAAAAGTTTTTATGTTATAATTTACAAAATAAGATTTTTTAAAAACCATGTCATCTTAGGTGAAGTATATAACAAAAAAGTTTAGAGGACTAATTTTATTTTTATAAAATAAATTTTATATTTATTATATTACATTTAATTTTTTTGGAGAGGAATAGTGCTTAGTTTGCCAAAATCCAAACATGCTTATTATAGTTAAAAAAATTTTAATAAATAAAACTTACTTAGTTTCTGTTGAAAATTGAGTGTTGTAAGATGTACTTGGTTGATAGCATAAAAAGTGATGTAAGAGCGAGATTCGAATTGATAATGGACGATATGTAAAACTAACTAAGTCATCAGATCGAACTTCTGCCATACTAAAGGCACTTGGAAGTAAAGTTCCAAGAAAATCAGAACAAATACTGAGAATTCTACCACCTTCAATTAATAGGTATTTTTCAAGTAGTGCATAAAGTTTTTCTGGTACAGAACCATATATAACAACCATGGTAGCTTGAGTACTCCATGGAGATTGAAGCATTTTTTCTAAACTTAAGATATATATTGTATACCTAAACATATATTAAAAACTTAATATGTAAATTAACTTTACTTTAGTAAACTTGTCAACAATAATTTATTTAAATGACTTACATCTATTAAAGACTTAAACTTAAGAATAATGACTCAATAACATCTGAAATCACTACAATAAAAGATACTAACACATAAAATAAACTTAACATACACAAAACTAAAAATAAAAAAAATAAATTTGATTTTTTTACACTACAGTTATTAATAGTTTCACAAAAAAAATGAATATGCCATATAGATTATTATACATAAAAATATTTAATTTTAGTATTTCAACTATAAAGCAGATTTATATGCATTTATTAATTTAGTTAAGTTATTCCAAACACATCAGCCAATATAAATTTATAATAATAGGCTAGGAAACTTATGTAATTCAACTGTGTTTATAGTAAATAGGGATAAGTTTATTTCCTAATAAAAAAAAAAAAAATTTCTTCCTTACTGTATACTCCAACAACAAATTTTTAAAAACATGGGTTCTTTTAACATTTCTCAAAAAAATTATACAAATTAATTCATTACAAATCTTATAAATACAAACAGAATGAAATATATTTTTTGAATTTAAAAATAAGACTACTAATATATGAGTCTACAATAGTTGAAAAAATTGAGAAAACACCCATATTTATTTTCTGTGGATTTCCATCTAGATACATTTTTAACTATAAAATTAAAAATACAAATTTAATGTATAGCAATGACTAACAATTTGTACAGAATGTAGTTTATAAGGAGAAAATATATTCAATTTTGTGATATTTTCTAATAAAATATTAGGAAGTTGATAGTATGTTTTTTGAATATAATTTTTCAAACTTTATTTTGAACTATAACATTATTTTCTCTTATAATTTTTATTAAAATTAAAATTTATGTAGTTTTGATATTTTAATTTTTACAATGAAAATAATTCAAAGGATGTATCTTAAAATATAATAATTTAAATAAAAACATTTTTTTTATCTGCGAATATATTATGTTTAAATGATCAATTAGCCTACTATAGTTAAATTGGTATGTACTAGGAAGAATGTTAAGTGAAATGGATTTTGTGACTTTCTGCAACCCTTAATATATATCTTATTAAAAAAATACAAATATTTTATAGAAGGAATGGTTTTTATAGAATATATACAAATGTATAGAATACATTGGTTTGTATATTAGATATGCCACAATAAATAATGATAGTTTTGTTAAGTTATTTTAACATACTTAAATAAATTTTGAAAATCATATTAACAAATTGCTTGTCTGTTATAACAACGTCATAACACAAAAATCGTCATTTTGAGTATGCAAATATTAATAATGCTGCATATTGGTTAGTTTTAATACAACAGGTAGAAAACGATATGTAAAAATACAAAATTAACTCCTAGGTAGCAGTTGGGACATTATTGCGTTATCATTGTTTTACCCATTTTAAATCAAAACAGTTTTATCTCATTTAGTGTTTTGTCAGCTATCATAACCAGATTTTAGCTTTTTTCAAAGAACTTCTAATTTTTATTAATGCGTTATTACTACAAAGGTATAATAAGTTTTTTATTTGTTTGTTAAAGTGTGTTATTTGACCTTATAGACAAAAATTATTCATAAATAAAAATCAATCTTCCCATTTATATTTAAAATACCTATGTTAACTGCTACTCTTATAATAATATTGCTATAGATGAGAACTGAAAACATTAAACGTTTTTATGGCATATCCTTTATTAAAATAATTGAGTAAATTAATATAAATTAAAAAAATTATTTATCACTTTATTGTTAATTATATTTTTAAAAATGATTTTTTTGTTATGTTCTGTTATTGTTATAGCATACCATAAAATTTATACCATAAAATATTAACTTAAAAAACCAAAAATTATTTATATATCAAAACTCATAAATATATAGATCTTATATCGTTATATTAAATAATAATTTTTAACTATCTATTTTTTTTTCAATGTTAAAAATTTATATGGCATATTCTTATTTGTATAAAAATTCGAATGAAAAAAATAAAGACAAATTATTAAATTGAAATATAAAATTATATTTAAAAAAATTATTGTTATGTAACAGAAAAAATTAGTATTGAAAAAAGATTTTAGATATAGAATTGGGAATATTTATTATAATAGAAATTTTCATTACTTCAATAAATATTTATTATGAATAATTCTATGTGCAACTTTAAGTTACTGCTACAGAGAATAAAAGTAATGAAACACCCCAATCATCTAGGAATCCAGATATATACTTAATAAAAATTAAACTATGAAAGTTTTTATTTTTTACATTTTCTACAGATGGAAATTTAGAAATAAATATTTCTTTAGTTATTTATACTTTAATCAATTATTATTATCATAATTACATACATTTTCTACTAATACAACCATTGCATATTAGATAATTTACTAAAAACAGTATCTTTCTATGTAATGATATTAAGATTAGTTAAGCAAATATATGTATATTTAATATTAATAAATTAACTTTATTCTAACTCGTGTTACAAGGAATTTTTTTTTATCTAAAGCAGATAGTTATTTATAAAAAAGGAGATGTGATATCATCCTTTTTTTTTAGACCAACCTGTATCTATGCAAAATAGCTTCTAAAGAGTTTGAAATTTGTTGTGCGCTAGAAGCACTATCACTAAAAATAATTATATTAGGAGGTTTGCCAGTTTTTATTTCTCCTCTATGCTGTACTGGCGTATGACACCGTGTTCTTGATTCAGGATGGTTAGTGAAATCTGAGAATGACTTATTGTTTCTTATTAAAGAAACTGAATTATAGTTTCCTCTCTTGAGAATTCCAAATACATCAGGGCTACTTTTTATAGGTTTAATTCTAAACAAAAATAAAATATTAAAAATGTATGTTATATAATTGTTAAATATTAGTTTTAGGTTACCCATTAGATAAACTTTTTATGTTATTGGAAATAGGACATAGAATTGATTTTTTTAAATCTAATGATTCACTAGAACTAGAACATGATGAATTGCAATTGATATCATTAAAATTTATCATTTCATTTTGATGTACATCTGTTTCATAGTTGTTACAAAATCGTACATATTGAATATTATCTTTGGAAGTATTATGAATGCTAGTAACGTTTTTTGAGCATTTAGTTTCAACAAATTCACTATACACATTATCAGATTTACTTTTAACAATATGATGGTCATCAACATTTATTAAAGATTCAACATCTTTGGAAATAATCACTGAACTATAAAAAAAATTGCATGTTAGATTTCTTAAATTTATTATACAAATTATAGTTTTGTGAAAGTTTTTTTTAATAACCATTAATTTTAGACTATGTTCAAATTATTTTGTTTAGTGTTTGTCAATGATATTGATTTTTTGATTAGATATTGCTGACTTTCTTCATTTTTCCACAATATAGATTATAATTGAAAAAAAAACTGTTTGAATATTGGTTATTTTTTAAAATTTATATTATTTCGTATTAGGCTAAAAACTGTTTGTGATAATCTTGTGAACATTTTTTAGATTAGATTTTTTATTATGATATTGTTGTTATTTCTTATTTTTAACAAAACACAAAGGTATGAGGAGAAATAGAGAAAAGAATGTCAGAATTAGAAGATATACAGCAACAACTAGTTGAACTTAATCTTAAAAATATAATGAAATTATTAAACTCAAAAAAAAAAATCCCTTCTTTTAGATGATAGTCATGAAGATCATGTAAAAGTTTAAATTTTATTTTCAAAAAAAAGAAGAAAAATTGTTTTTAGTTATAATTTATAAAGCAATAAAAAAATATAAACAGCACTTATAATTTTTTTTTATTTAAAACCAAAAAACTGAAACTATACTAGTAATATTCAAAAAACCCCAAATTCATTCATTTAGTATAACCAAATTATAATGATAAATTTTTATTACAAAAAAAAAATCATTTCTTCATAATAAAAAGTAATTTGAAAATATTTGGTTTTCGTTATGAAATATAGCTATTATTATCTGATTTGATTGGTATACCATAGTCTGATTTTTATAACAATAGTAACTTAATGGTATTCTTAAAAATAAAAAAATGTTGAAAATATTTAAATATTAAATTTAATTTTTTTTTCCTTATCGATTTATTTTTTCATAAAATATTGGGCACAACTTTTTTATATTAGGATATAATATTACTGAAATTAAGTATGATATTGATATTTAAAAATATATCATTGACGAACCATAATATTTTTTATTAATCACTACAATGAATAAAAAAAAAATTAATTTTCTTTTAAAAATTTTGATGATTATTTTATAACTATCAATTGCCATGTTATGAGCATTTTAATAAATGGTGTAGGATGAAATATGAGTAGAGTATACATATACCAGAAATTTACCCACTCATACTACATACCCATTCTTTGTATAAAAATTATTATTGATCTATCAAAATATCTTGTAAGAAAATGGTTTGTTCAAAATTTAGAATATTTTTATCCTTTTTAGTGATAAATAATAAAAATATATCTGTTAAACATTGTCTAAAAAGACATAAATTATTTAAAAAAAAAAAATGAACAAAATAATAATTGGATCAAAAGTAATAAGTAATGTAATTTATATCTGAAATACTCTGTTGGTCAGAATTATTTTTGTTTTTATTACTATAGTATATGAGTTTAAAAACATAAAAAACTTGATTATAAATAAATAAACATTCTCCAACTTGCACCTTAAGGTTAAGGAAAAATACTTTTTTTTATTTTGTCACAGATATTTTTTGAGAATATTTAACAAAATAATCTACATGAAAAACAAACGAATTAAATATCTCTGATTAATATTAATCAAATTATAAGGTTTATTATTTATAGAATTTACTTATTTTTATTATTTTAAATATAATGTAGTATAAATATTTATGTCATGTTACAATAATTTCTAATATAAAATTTGAAAGGGTTTTATTAAACATTTTTTACAATTTAAATAAAAACTGTTTTATTTCAATGTTTGTTTAACAAAATTTTTATTTCATCTTGAAAACTTTAGAAAAAAAAATTGATTATTCAATGACGTAAATTTAACACTAATTTTTTAATTTAATTATTTATTTGTAATATTTTGTATACACTATTAATATATAGTAATTCCATAAACTAGATATATTACATTTTCTAGAAATTAAGTACATGCTTTATATAAATTTTACTTTTTAATTTAATTAGCAATAATATTTTGAATGATATATTTATATATTATTTGAATTGTATTGATTTATAATATATTCAGCAGTTTTTTTATCAACCAAAATAAAACAAAAAAAAATTTCGATAGCCTTTTTTTTGGGATTTATAATTTATAAATTTTTATTTAAGTGTATATAAAGGAGTTTTCAAGTACCAAGCTCTGCAACTTATTCAATTTTAAATTAATTCACATTCGTAAATAGAATATCACTTGATTTTTACTGAAAATAAGACAAATTAATAAATAATTTGTTCCTTTTTAAAATTAAAATTTAATTTGGACAATTTTTCAATAAGTTGTACTATTGTTGTATTCCTAATTTGTTTTTATACGCGAATTATTGAAAAAAATATGTTACCCATAATGTGTAGGTTTTCCAGAAATAGAAACTTTAGCTGCAGTCTGTGACACACCACAAAGTGCATCACAAAATATTTTCCATTGAATAGCTGTAATAGGGGTGACTTTATCTATCAAAAAAAAAAAACTTGAGCGATATTATATAATTACATAGACATATCTGTATTCTCGTATACCTCCTGGATCTTCTAAGCAATAAGCAAAATTAATAGTTGATGTGATAAATTCATGATTATCAATGGCACATGCTTGACCTTCAACTTTTACAGCTATAATGAAAATAATTAATAACAAATTAATAAAGGAGAAAGTTTTAAGAAAAATTTATTTTTTAATGCTAAATTATTGAAATAATAAAATATTTTTAAATAATAAATAAGTTTATTAACAGTAAAAGTAAATTCATTATTTTTGTTTGAATAATTTAATATATGTCATAAACAATGAAAATATATAACTTTAATAATTAATAAGTTTAAATTATTTAATTTTCTTAAATCAATTTATATACTAACTTTGTATTCTATAAAGTTCCATGTTATTTCCTAAAAATATTGGGTATGAATTGTCCATAAATATTTTACTAAGCATAGCTAAATGATTTAAATCAGTTTCCATTAATAAACTGAAGTTTTCTCTTGCATACCAAGCTTTAAGATTACCGTAGTTTTCAATCTATGTAAAAACAAATAATTAAATAATTATTGTTTCATAAGTAGACAATGTTACTTACTGTACAATATTGCACCACATTTTGTCGTTGATTGAATATTTGGTAATTAGCTTCAATTAATAAATGTATTATAGAATCTACATCCAATTTTAAGGAAGAGTGAGTATTTAACAAAACTGGAAATGCTACTTTATAACTAGGTATTTGAATCCAAGTATCTAAATTTAAAATTTGCTACTTGAACAAAAAAATATCTATGTAATAAAAATAATAGCACAACAATGAAAAAATTAGGTTTTTATTGAAACTTTTACCTCAGGAAATATAGAACATGATCTTTTATGACCCATAATTGAGACAATTTGATCAAGTTGAGCAAATTGAGAATATTTACAGCTATCAGAAGAAATACCACGAGGTCTAAATAACTTAAAAATTTTACTATAACAAGTACCTAGGTCTAAAAAATAAAAATTTTTAAAACAAATAAATAAATAGAAACACTCAACATACTTTCATTGTCTATATCAGTAAAGTCTTTTTCTTTATACATTACTATTGATCTACTGTTCAGAATGAATTTTTTTAAATTTGCCTTTAAATTAGCCAGTCGGTATGACTGAAACAAAGTGGCAGCCATATAGTATAATGTTAGAAGCATATTTTAACAGGATGTCATCAAAAGGCCAATGACTGTTATATTTTAAATAATTGTACACCAATAATCCATTAGTTTCTAAGAATGAAAATTATTAACAATAATGTTATTGAATATTACAGCTTAACTTTAAGGTAAACAAGATAGTTACAATTACATGAATGTGATGAGCAACAATAATTGTTCGTATGACAACTAAATATTTAAAGCAAAACGTTACATAAAAATATAAGGATTATAAGCAATTTTTTAACATAGTGAAATGATGATGAAAATGCCGCCCAACACTTAGATGACATTCAACTGACTTTCTTCATTAACGAATAAACTAAATAAAATATACATTAAAAATGAAAGTAAAAAAAAAAATGATAATAAATGATGAATAAAATTAATGATTCTTCAACTTGTAATTACTGCAATATTATATTATATCTTAACAACAGCTATTTGATAACTGTAAATTATGATAAGACATTGATTACTCAGTATAATGATAACACTAAATAACAAATGTATTGACATCTGAACTACTATATTGACAAAATTTAGTTTAGTTTGTCATGTACTTATTATATTATAATATATAATCATGGTTAATTATAAATTTTCAACAATTACGGAGGAGCGATGTCTCTTCAGTTAATTTTTTATTATTTATACTTGCAGAAACAGACTATTGGGTTTGAATTAAATAATATTTAAAATAAGTATTTACTACAAACAAACATTATAAACTTAAAATATACAATACAAACAAAATAATAAATTATAACATTAAGGTTACAACTAAATGAAGTTTTTTATACAAAATCAAGGAGTTAATTTTTAACAAGAAATTGTAATACTTTATTTGTTTCATCGTGGTTAGGACCTAAAGTTGATGACAAGTGAATTCCCATTTCTATTTGGTTCCGTATATCTTAGTATTTTTTTTCATTTAGTGAATATAAGTTGTTAGCTGGATCTGACAAATATCATATATTGGTGGTGAATTTTTGACTATAAGTTAACTGTGGGTTTATCTTGTGTGTCCTATTTTTAGCCCGTTGGTAATTATCTCATGTTTTCTAGGGGTGTGGTGTACATTAGTATAAGAGTCGATGTGTGTTTTTATCTCATCCAATTGGGTGCTACAAGTGTACCACGTTTTATTCTATTCTTGAAAACAGTAGGAATGTATCTTTTTTTTTTTGTGTCATAAAAATTAATTTTTAATTGTTCGCGTGTTGTTGTTAATGTAACATCTTTAGCTACTTTATCTGCCAGTTCATTACTTACAATGTTTATAAGGCCAGGTACCCACATATGTGCTATAAGAAAGTCAAATTTTGGAAGCCTGTAGAATTTGCTTTGTATAAATCTTAAAACATCGCTTGGATTATATTTGTTTTGAATACCTAAAATAGCACTAAGCGAACATTTCTACACTGATGCATCAAAAAAAAAAAAATAATTTAGGTATAGAGATAATAAGGGGCACAAAAATGTAACTGTACAGATTAAACAGTAATACATCTATAGACACAACTGAAACAATTAACATACTAAACATTGAACATCATAGAAGCACAGAATGAAAAATATTCGACAATCTTTTCTTCAGTTTAATTTCTATTTAAAACCTACGATTTATATAAAAACAAATAAACAGTAATATATTAAAAATAAAAATGTTGGTAGGCATATGTTGCCTATAAAATTTAGCTATTCCTTTAATTTGTTTTTCATTAATACATCGAAAGAAGTATTATAATCGCTAGTAAAATCATTAAATATTGATTCTAAACTGTTAATTTTAGAAAGTTTGTTGTAATTTTAAAATACAAAAAACACAATTATAATTTGCCCTCCATAATTTCCTAATTTTGAGATATTATTCTAAATAAGTGAAATAGAGATTTTATTCCTTTTTTACAGACGATAAGTTCTGCGTAATTTTGAGTTTTTTTGATCAGTTAACTTTTAAATTAATATTTGAATAATTAAATTAGTTAATATAAAATAACATAATAAAAGTATTAAAAATTAATGAATAATGTAGAAATAATATTATTCTATGGTAAATAATTTTTATCTTGATAATTTTTGTCATAATAACACAACTGTTTATAGACACAAGTATAATAATTTTTATGAATAATATATATTAATATATATATATATTTTTTAACAACCATACTATAGTAGAAACGCAATAAACATTTTAAACTTTTTTACGTTTAATTTATTATCTGATCATGTTCAGACCGATTTACGTCAATGTTCAATTTAACCTAATATGTTTTAAATCGGCGTCTGATATGATATACTATGTTTTTTAAGTAAACATTCGATTCATAACAGTAGAAATTAATTATACATAGAAATTATTAGAATCAATAATGCAACCTGAAACGATTTTTGAAACGGGTTTATCAGACCTGATCTGAATTTAATTATAAATTGTTGAAGTTTGATTTAAGAGAAAGGGAGTTTATTGCTTAGAAAAATGGACACTCTTCATTTTTAAGGTTAGGTTTTTTACTTTTTATTTATTTGCTTTATCAGTATGCACTATTCTGATACTTCAATTTAATTTTCATAATTTTTTTAATTACATTTTATTCAAAGTTGTTTGCTAGTCTTTCATTATTTTTATATTTATTATAAATTCTAATTGACTTTTATAAATACAAAATGAGTTCTATTGGAACTGGTGTAAGTATAATTTTTTTTAATTTTCAAAGATTAACATATTATTTATATTCTTCTTTTTCCTCGCTTTAATCCCAACTACTTGGGGTCGGTCAAGTAGTTGATATTATTATTAATATTAATAATACTAACATATTATTTATATATATCTAAAAAATTCTCAAAACTTAACTTATAGTTTTTAGTATAACTTACTGATAATGGTTATATACTATACAATTTTATTTTAATATTTTTGATACATTTATTGCATAGTATGATTTATCAGCATCTCAATTTTCTCCTGATGGTAGAGTATTTCAAGTTGAGTATGCATTTAAAGCGGTTGAAAATAGTGGGTATGATAATTAATCTTTGTTTTTGCTATTCATCACTTTAAAATTATTTAATATGTATATAGAACAGCAATTGCTTTACGTGGTTCTGATGGTATTGTGTTTGCTGTTGAAAAGTTAATCACATCTAAGTTACATGAAGATGGAACAGGAAAAAGAGTACATAGCGTAGAAAATCATATAGGAATGGTATATTTTTTTATTAACTTATGAGTTTGTTTATTTTATAGTAAATCTATTTTTAGGCAGTTGGTGGTTTAACAGCTGATGCTAGTGCTATATTAGATGTAGCTCGAGAAGAAGCTAAATCGTTCCGGCAAACATACAATGTACCTATTTCACTAAAATATTTAAATGAAAGACTTTCTATGTATATACATGCTCATACACTATACAGTGCTATCAGGCCATTTGGTTGTGCTGTTATTATTGGAGCTTATGATTGCCATGATGGCCCTGAAATGTATATGATTGATCCCGCTGGAGTTTCATTTGTATGTATTAGATCATTTTTATTATTATTATTTTTATTATATACTTTTATTTTAGGGATACTTTGGATGTGCAATTGGTAAAGCTAAACAAACTGCTAAAACAGAAATAGAAAAATTGAATTTAAAAACAATGTTATGCAAAGATTTAGTGAAAGAAGCAGCAAAAATGTATTTTAAAACACTTAAATTAAATAGATAAATAATTATAATTTTTAATTTTTAACACCCAATTAAAACATAAATTTTTACATTTACAGAATCTATATGGTTCATGATGAATTAAAAGATAAGCAATTTGAATTAGAACTAAGCTGGGTTGGTAGTCACACTAATGGAAAGCATGAAGAAGTATCAAAAGATATTTATGAAGAATCACTTAAATATGCTAAAGCATCATTAGATGATGATTCTGGGTCTGATGGAGAATAGCATGTTATCATGTTATTAAAAATATAATTATCAATATGTGGTATTAATACTGGTTAAAATTCAAGCTTAACAATATTTTTCAAAGTAGTTAAGTTCATTATTTTATATTCTTATGCTTTGAATAAATTAAATTTTTACTGAAAATTCTAATTAAATTTTTCATATCTGAAGATATAAATTGTTATTTATTTATATTTTTGATAAGGTGTTTTATATTTGTAATAAACAGCTTAAATTATTAAGAAAAAACTACAACAAAAATATAATTACGAATATATAATCAGATCTTATAGAAAAATGTATAATAAATTTGAATATTTATATTGTTTCCTTATTATAGAATATTCTTCTATCGGCAGGACTTCATCTCACACTGTTAATAAAATTTGTACTTGGAAAAGATAATCCCAAAGAAACTCAAATAAATAAATGTTTTTGTTGTCCAAAAAAAGTATGAAAAATTTGTCATTATAAGTGAAGGGTGATCAAATTTTTCAGTGGCCTAATTTAATTTTCCACCCTTCAAAAAGTGATATTTATATAAAAATTTAAATAATTATGCTACATTTTTTGGGAGTTAAACCTCCTGCTACCATCTTATCTATGCTTATACTTTCCACAAAAATAAAAACAAAAGAATAATTCTCTTATTTATAAAAAAATAATTAGTATAGGATTGTTATAAATCTATTGTAAGTGTGCAGTTTATTTAAATAATGGAATTTTATTGTATCATTAACAGTTCATAGGTGAATATACATTATGTTTTATAGTAATTTTACCTTTAAATATATTAGTAACCATAAGGATAGGATAGATTTGAATTAATCATAATTTCATTGTAATTATTTTTATTTTAAAATAAATTCTAATAAGTATTAAACATAAAATTAAAATTAAAATTTCATATATTTCAATAAGAAAAAGAAAAAATAAATATTGCAAATATAATAAAATTAACATCTTAAATTTTTTTTTTTTTTAATTTTAATAGAAATTTGAAATATACTTGTATCCAAAAATTTAACAAGTAATACAAAAATATTATTATTATTTTTTTTTATTATTAAATTTTAGATAGGAAAACTTAATATAAATAACAATTACTGAAAGTAAAAAAAATTAGAATTATTTGTCTCTTTTTTTCAGATATTTATTAAGAGACAAACAAAAATTATTATTAAAGCGGCAATTTTTATAGTATTTTTCTATCAGAATATTTTTTAAAATTACCGTTAGAGGGAGGAATATGATTAACATATGAAAGATTCTGTGAACTTCAACATTTATTTATCAATTAAATACATTTTTTTCTTATAATTAATACTGTAAATAATAAATACTATAAATTATACAATTCATTAAAAAATTGTAAATAGCTTTAATATGTTAATGATACAAATGATTCTATTATTGCTCAACAATAACAAGGTTTTATCTTGTTGCTTTAAAATATTCATTTAGCACCAAAATTACAATTTATACCACGTAATTTGATGTAAAACTTAAATAAAACTAATATTAAATTCATGTATTTTCTACACAATTAAATATCACAGAAGTTTCAACAATTAAAAATACAAACATCCTAAACTGGACAAAAAAAAAAAAATAATGGAATTTTTTCAAAAATATAGGAGACTTAATTACTTACACCAGTAATATGTTATATAAATATATATGCATAACATTAACATCAATATACATGGTAAATTGGGGTTTTATAATATCATTAAAAATATGTTACAAGTATATATCTATTAATCAGAAAAGCATTCATGTATAAATACAATATGAATGTGGTAATTATTTGTTTTCATTTAGAATTTTAACCATAAGTTACATAGGAAGGTTTTTAAGGGTCAGCGATTAATAAAAATACAAAAATTTACATGTAAGTGTAAACACCACTAACATGGCTTGGAAAATAGTTTAAAAAAAAAAAAAAAAAAAAAAAAAAACATTTTGTGTTAAGGCACTCAATTCAACACTGTTTATGCATATAATTCGCTAACTAATTGTGTAATTTGTATTAGTTAATCGAATTTAGTTGGATATCAAGTTCCCACATGTGTAAAAGTTATGCATGTTTTAGTATTATTCAATCTAAACTTCTCCAACTAATTCAGCTTGTTTCACCGTGTCAGGTAATTTTTGATCCTTGGTTTCTGGGAATAAGAATGCTAAAGCACCAGCAACAAAAGATATTATACCAAACAACAATATTGGTACATATTGTCCAAAATATGCTGACTGAAAATTTTAGTAAAAATTAATTATTTCATACAATTAGAATAGTAAAAGATAATTTAAATCAAATGTTTTACACAGGAACGGACTGGGCAACTGATCTTTGTGTAAACGACCATCAGAGTATTAATTTATATTTGATCGATTTGAAAAAAATGATTTTTAATCATATTGAAAAACAAAAAGATATAAAGTAAAATGTTAATTAACCAGAAGGGAACTTACATATTATAACTACACTAGTAAAAATTATGTATATTTTTTTATGGTATCTGAAATTATCAATAATATTTTTTTGGAAATTATTTTGCATAATTTGGAGTGGAGTCAGTAATTTATGAAATCCATTCTTAAAATTATTTCTCTAATATGAACATGTTTTTTTCATAATCATTAAAATTAAATTAACAAAAAAATCACGTCTCATTGATTTAGAACAATCAGTTATTATACTAATAGAAATTATTCATACCAGTAATGACATCTGAGGTGCTATCATAGAACCAAAACGGCCAAACATTGAAGTAATACCAAACAGGGACATACGTAATTCGGTAGGGAACATTTCAGCTGTAAATACATACATAGTGTTAAACGCCATAGTAATTGCATATTTACTCCCTAAGAACAATAGTAACTTCAACCATAAATGACCTAAAAATAACGTAGAAATTAGTTAACTTTAAAACAAACAACCAATTAAGAATAGCGAAACGAACCATCAGGTGTAACATTAACTAAAATACAACCAAGGCCGCTAAACAAGAATGAGAATGCTTGTGTATTTCGCCGAGGAAAGCGTTCCATAAAGTACCAAGATGTTAAAAACGCTGGTACTTCGATTGCATTCACTAACATAAAGTTTAAGTATTTATTCCCCGAAAACTCAACAGAAGTTAATGAAAGTCCATAGTACACTAACGTTATAGTAGTCCTGAAAAAAATTTCAATAAATTAAGATTTTAAAATGTTTGATTTTCGAGACATTTTTTAAAAATTACGTACCAACAAAATGAGCAATTAATGAGTCGCAAAAATATTTCTTTAGAACTAAAAATTTTTTTCATCAATGTGCTACATGATAATTTAACATCATCGTCCTAAAAGTATATATATAATATTTTAAATATATGTGATTACTTTATTGAATTTTATGTCTAAATTCAAAGTTTGATTATTAATTTAGACTGTTTTTAATATAGCTAAAGATAGAGATAGTTAAAAATAGAAAATCGATGCGGGTTATCCTACCTTTTCTCTATATTAAATACATTTTAGAACAATAATTGGCAATTGGCAGCCTTACTTTCACACAAAATCATAAATCATTACTAGTTAGAATTACACTACAAGATCATTTAAGTTAAAACTATTTTTTTTTTATAGGTAGGAAGACAAAACCCCCATGATCACTAATTAAGAACTTACACCATTTCCGAGGTTATTATTTGACTTTGGATTCGTCAATAAAGCTTCTTTCACACTAGCTGGCATAGTTTTTCCATTCGATTTAGCGATTTTTGCTAAAATTTCTGCCATTTCCTCAATTCGATTTTGTGTTTGAAGCCATCGCATTGACTCTGGTACATACCTGAAACGCATAAAAAATAATGAAATATGATAACAATAATTAAAATACTAAAATTCAAAAAATAATTACCACGAGTATCCCAAAATAAGTAATCCGGGTATATAAAGAATCCTGAGCATTATCCTCCAGTCGAGTACCATATAAGCAACAAAACCCATTAGCACTGCGCCCATAGGATAAAAACACCCCATGAGAGTACTAACAGTTACACGAGCTTTTGGACTAACTAACTCGAGGCCTGTATGACATTAATATAATAAATATTAATAATATGTAATATATTGTATTAAAATTTACAAATTGATCAAAAAGTATTTTAGCTAGGAAGGAAAAGGGATCTTTTACCCCGCATACATTTTTTTAACTATTTATCACCGGCGTACTCATGTTTTCAATGTGGTACCATTGAGATGTCCTACGTAAGTTATTGCGTTTGTAGTACATACAGATATAAGATTTTTTATTGCTCATTACTATAATCAAAATCATACAATGTTTATAATAATTATTAAGTATAATGCGATTAATGACGACCAGCCTCCTCTTGCTGCGAACGCTACTGGTATTCATATTAAAATAAGTAATAGATTATGTCAAAATCCATATAAATTGACTTAATGCCGAAAATAAATTTTTGGTATTTAAAAATTAAAATAAAAACATTATAAAATTAGCGTGTATTGACCGTAACCATTATTTTTCGTTTTGTTTATTTTAAATACAAAATACATGGTAATTCTTCTAATTTAGGAATCAAAATAAGCATAATTTAAATCTTTGGACGACACGACATGCAATATAAATATCATGTTTTTAAAATATCTTATGTACAAATTGTATACAAGTTATTATAAAAATAAAATTATTAAATGTGTTTGAAACGTTTTAGTAAAAATAATTAATAGCATAGATAAGGATATACATAAATGAGTTGTTTTCAAAGTTTACCTAATACAAATGTTGCGGCATAAACTCCACTGGAAGCAACAGAATCCAAAAGTTCAAATAAAACAAATGAATAGTAATCTGTAGTGAAAGATCTCGCAGTTCCGAGGATTGCTGACGACACTGATCCTATGATTAAAATGAACTTACGACCGTACCTTAAGTTCAAACAAAAACAAGTTCAAACAACTTCTTCGTATTAAAATGTACAGTACTGACTTGTCTGAAATGAAACCAGCCAAAGGGATTCCAATGAATTGTCCTATACTATTAATTGTTCCCACTGTCGTCAGTTTCCATTTGTTTTCTTCGCACATTATGTTAAACTAGAATTACATAAAATAGTTAAAAATATGAAAATGCTATAGATTTTAAAGAAAATTTTAATTGTCCTATTGCCGTCGTACTCAGATATAAATTTAAGGCAAATATACCAAGACAAAAGATTTGGCAGGTTAAAGTTTTTAGTATAAAAGTTTAATATCTAATTATATCTGAGGTGCACGGATAAAGGTATAGAAATTATTGGGGAAGTAGATTTGATGACAAATGATTTATTTGTTGCAATGTTTAACATGAAATTTTACTTAAATTATAAATAATTAAGTTTGAAATTTAGATAATGTAACAACATTTTAAGTACATCCAAAATGTAAGAATCAATTAAATTTATTCAAACTTAATATATTTTTTTAACGTGAAATTTGTTATCTGAGCAATGCAGAAAATTAGTTAAATATTAGAAGATAAACTTCCATGCACTAATTATGACATACGTCATTCACAATAGTCTTTTCTTTGTCGTCGAAAATCCACCGATCACATCTTTCTTCTGAATTCGTATCAAAAGCGTCCGGCAGACATGAAGCATTCTTATAAAACGATTCCTCAGTACCGTTTATATTTTGTGTGACCTCGTGGTATTTGTGGCACTTGAACGGTTCGTCCATGTTATCCTTGAAAGGAACTGCATTTCGTAACCAATCAGGTTTGTATGTTGTATCGCCATGATCACATTGAGGGATTTCACATCTTAATCACATTAAATTTTCATTGTTAAAATAGGTAATTAACGACACAAACCTACTATTAAATACATATAGGGTGATTCAATGTGTTTCCTAAAGCTTTTTTTAGTAATAAATTATGTTACAAAAATGTTTCTATGTTTAATAGTAGTTATTACCATGCTAATATAATAACAATAGGTAAAGCGGCGATTATGATTCTATGTCACTAGGCATTTCTCAAAAAACTCTTCTCTTACTGTCTAGGAATTAAATGATCAAAGTTTATGTTATTAAACAAAACTTCAAACGCTATATTGTATTTCGAGAATTATAAATTTAAATAATATTTAAATTAAAACCGAATATTTCCCCTCCCCCCTCAAAAAAAAAAAGAGAGAAAACTATTAAATATTATAATAACGAAGTTGTACCGATTATACATCATTTTATAAACTATCCCATGTTACAATAAAGACACTTAAGAATCTTTTATAATTTCACGTATAACCGAGTCGGCTAGTAATTTTGATTGCGTTTTATTTCTACGAATAAATAGCTATATAAATTATTTGATTGAATGGTAAACCATTGATTATTTTAAATCGACGCATATAACGCCATGCATTCATAAATGATCAAGTAATTACTTATACAGAGTGATTCTTTTAACACTAGCAACTCAATTTCTCTTAAAATAATATATTATTTGTGAATTTTTATTTGACTTTTTTTAGTTATATGTGCATCTTTATTAATCTGTTATAAAATTATTTTTATGTGTCATCTCTAATGTCTTATAGCAGTGTCAACTTAATTTTTTTAAATAGAAACATACATATTTTACTAGTTGATAACAATTTTTGCACCAGTATTTCAAAAGTTGTTAAAATTTTTATACCTAGGCGGGAGAAGAAATGAGATCAAGAATTGTCCAATGATAAAAATAGCAGAACTCACTCCTTACCTTCAACCATAAGTGTAAATTGATAATAACATAATATTCGCTAATAATCTAGTTAAATGTTAAATGTTTCCATTTAAAAAATAAAGTTGACACCCCTATAAGACACAATGGATGACACATAGCAATAAATTTATAACAGATAAATAAAGATACATGTGTTACTAAAAAAAGTAAAAAAAAAATTTTTTTATAAGAGAAATTGAGTGGTTAGTGTTAAAAGAATCACGTTGTATGACCGTGTCAAATGTCAAAAAAGTATTTATATGGATCTTAATTGTTTAAAGAAAATAATAAAAACGAGTAAATAATCCCAATCAGACATTTAAAGGAGTATATACTAAGAAAACATTTTCTAAATGAAAATTAAAACATTTTATTTTTAAGTACGTGGTTTTGTACTAAAAAGTATAAACGTATAACAAAACGTATGATATACAGGAGGGAATAATTTATATAAAATGTACAAAATTAAAATTTACTCAGTTATAGGACTGTAGAATTAAAAAGTTGCAAGGTAAAATTTGTCAATGCATTAAAATAATACAGGTTTCTTAATTATAAATTTAAAAATGAATCAATGTGAATTAATAATTTTAATAAGAACATATTTTACCTGTATTTGAGATCGCTAGCAGTTATAGCATAACTTAGAGGTGATATGTTTGAATACATAAGTACTAAGCCCATTAGTGCACATACTGTCACTTGATATCTACCCAGTCCGAAATTACCAAGAATCTCGTCCAAGTCCATCACATCAGTCGATTCTTCGTCTTGCTAAAAATATATATTCTAGTAATTTATGATAATCTATTTAATGTCTCAAAAATTAATAAGTTAATTAAAACTGATAAATTTCACTCAAATATAAAATTAAATTGTATTTCAATGCGCCAAATGTCAATTAATTATTTTCAACTTATTTTCAAATGTATTGATGATAATTTATTTATAAAATAAGTATCATTTATCAGGCTTGTTTAAGTATTCGAATACTTTTCGTATTTTAAATACTTTTAGGTAAATGTATTTGAATACTTTTGAGATATACTTGTAATTAGAATATTAAACTTTTTAGTGTAGCGTGCATTATCCACAATGGTTCCTTAAATAATGAAAATTATAATCTTTGTCAATTAATATGCGTAATATTTTGTAATATTTGGAGGAACTTACTAAAGAATAAAGCTTTTTATAGAATCTCAAAGGTATGAATTATACTTAACATCAGTGCATCAACAAAAAAATCACAATCGAATGATAAAAGGGTTTTTATACTACACAATACATCATTACCTAATAGTGCCCCAGTTGTAGTATTTAGTGTAAGCAATGTCATTTTAATAGGTGATGAACACTTTGAGAAAGTCATGTTATTAAAATACAACCAAATGTTGTTATAATGAATCAATAATTTCAAGTTTTGAATGGAATAAATATATAATTTTTTTTATTTATAAAAGTAATAGTTCTTAATTTTAAAGATTAAAATTATTTTAATTTTAGTATTAAGGACTAAAGATTTATAATTCATAACCAATTATAACTATCTTAATTAACGATTTTAATGTTATTTTTAAATACCAATCACGGATTAAAGTGGAATGACCCGATAGGAAAGAATAATTAATATCAAAGATATTTTAAAATTCTTAAATCAAATAGAAATATTTTTAAAACATTTTATTTAATATTTATTCTTAAAATATACAATATTATCTTGGGATAAAAAATACTATTATAGATGAAACACTGTCTAATAAACAAAACCTAGTAATTATTGCATTCTAATTTCTTCTACACATTAAAAATCTTTTTTACAAATAAATAGTAATACCATAATGACTTAATTATCTATGATAATTCTTAAATTTATACATGTATTATCAAAAATAGTCTTCTTTAATATTGTATGTTTCCGATATCATCACAAATACAATATTCAATTTCAAATAATTTGGAATAGGATATTTTAGTAGACGTAAATTATAATTACTTTTTTAATATCATTGAACGATTTGATTGAGATGCAACGGATTTTAACCGTAATTAAATAAAAGATTAAAAACAATTGAAAACGAAAGTATGTCAGATGTAATGAATATTATACGCATGTTAGTCATTTTAGTCGTAGTTATCAAGGTCATTTGTGTGATGTATAGAGAACATTTTGTACACATGTCACAATAATATCGGCACATTTACAAGCATTTTGCGATGCACTTCTACCTTAAGTATTTTTTATTTGCTGCAAAGTCAGCTAATTCCAAAATAATGAATAACATAGTCCATTGATTATTAAAACTGTAAAATTAAATCCAAATTACTATTTATGCAAATTTTATGAAAACGCAACTATGCGTTTTAAATAATACATTTCATACAAAGTAATTCTACTTTACATTCACAGATAAATAATTACTAAAATGTTCATCCAAGATAATTATTATGTAATCTATTTCATAAATGACAACCATTTGGATAAAAATTAGATTCAAATATATATCTTAATATATAAATGTTAAAATCTAGCAAAAAATAACATGTATTATTTGTTAATGCCCTGTATGAACTATTGACATCCAAAATATTGTTCTTAAAATTTTGTTTATTAATTCATTTAATTACTGTAGTCCCAACGAAAACAATTATGTTTGTAAACAGTATTTTAAAATTGAAAACAACAATTGTCATTGGACAGTAGAGAATTGTATGACGTATAATTTTAGTATGTAGAGATTTTTTTTATGTTTTTACTTCCAAAATAAATTTTGCCGTCAACCAAATACCAGTAATTTCAATTGATAATTACAGTAATTAAAATAAATACAGTAAAAGTAATTACACAGAATAACTTAAATAATAATGACGATAAATAATATTATTGGTATTTGAAAAATTATTAAAAAGTTTTGTTGACTTTTATCTTTTATAAATTTTCATCTTGTAAAAGTTGAAGTAATTAGAATTAATAAACATATATGAACAGTATTAAATTTAGAATTATTTTTCTAGCGAGCTCTAAGAATTGGTGAAGCAGGGAAACACATTTTTTAGCCATAATTTCAAAAAATTACAAAAAAAAAAAAAAAGGTCGGTGAACAAAAAAAAAAATAGTTTTTAACTCAATATTAAACAAAACAGTTATATTATGTAAATAAACATAATAAATAACTATATTATACTTGTCATACTGAGATAATCAGAGAGGCTATCAACATATCAGATGGGCTCTATAAAGTATACCTGGATTAAATACCGAGTACAAATTAAGGAAAATTCTCAAGATATAGTTTTAAACACTTTTCAATGTAAATAAGTGCCAAATAAATCGTTGATGATATTTATTTAGTAAAAAACAATTATAAAATCAAGTATATTGTTAAAATAACAATTATTAAAATATATATATTAATATAAATAATAAAGCTCGAAAAATTAGCAGATGATAAAATACTACATTTATATTTTGTTTTCAATAAACATATACTGAACCATTATTTATCGATTTATTTACTTATTTTACTTTATGAGTAAAAAAAAAAAGATCATTAACTTTCATAAAGGACCCTGCCAAAGTTATCATTAGCATCCGCCCTAATAATTATTATTACAACTATCCATAAATGATCTTATAGAAATTTCGTTGAATATTGATTAGAAGTATACAAACCTTTTTTAATGCGCAATAACTACATTTGTTTAATTATTTTTAATTACAAATCTTGTAATGTAAACTAAAATATTCTATCTCCTATGAACATTGCATACAGCTGTTATATATATAAATATGTTTTGACATCTTTAATAACTTTTGATCCAGTAAATATTTTGAGTTACTTTAAAAAAATAAATATTTTGAAAGTTCTGGACTACGTTAAACACGCATTTTTTCTTATTTGTTTCGAATTTTTGAAATAGTAATTTATTTCTTCCCATAATAAAAAATTTACAAATTAAAAATGGTAATAACGATAATAACTATTGGATTATTACTTATTGAGTTACAAGCATTTACTACACTAAGTGGATGGGTACAGCTCGTTACTAATGTTTGTGCACTCCGCCCGCAGTACATAACCACTCGATGTATTAAAATGTTTGAAACATAATAAGTAAAAATAATAAAGTTGTTATCGCCCAATCAACTTATTTTTATAAGAAACCCCCTAAAAAATAATTGTAATGAAAATTTGAAAATGTTCTTTTTTCTTATTTGAGACAAATAATAAAATAAAAATCACTGAAAACACAGGTCAATTTTCTTTTTGGATTACTCTAACACAAAGTTCTAGTTTCTAATAAACAGCTCAAGGAAAATGTTTAAGTATCTTAAAAATGTAGGCGTGCGCAGACAGAGGGTACGGGGTAGAAATTTGCTAAATGTGACCCACATTGCTATTCTAAACGGTTTACTTTACAAACAATTGAATTTAAGATTCATAGAGTCTCAATAATTCGTTCCCAAATATTTTAGGAGTAAGTAATTAACCTCTCTAATACCTCTTCCTCTTTATAGGTACAGACAATGCTAGATTATTTTGCTTTATCTTACATTTAAAGTTTTACAAAACAGTAAGAATTACTTAATTTAGTTTAAGAAATATTAAAAATTAAATGTTATACAAAATAAGAATAAGTTAACTGCAGTAAAAATATTATACTATAAATAAACACATCATAAAATTAAATCAAAATCCAAGTGGAAAATTTAATAACAATAATCTGTAGGTTTTAGTGACCACAATACATGTGAATTCTATTGGAGCCCACCCGTGACGAGTTAAACATAATGAAATATAGTCAAGAGTTTAGTGAACTATTGAAACAAAAAACATTTTCGAAGGACAAAAAAAGCACAATGCTTTGTTTCGAGTATATAAGGAATAATAACAAAATTTGCACTTTGGTTTCTATAGTTGTAGAAACTACAAAAAATTTCATTAAAATTTACTTGTTTTGACTTTTGAAGTCATAAATTTAGATATTTATTTAAAATCTTTTTATTAATATTAAATAATTTGTTAGGGTTGTTAGGTGCAAAGATGTCCCGATGTACTATACTTGTTTGTGTGTAGTAAAATAACATCTTTACTTTGGTTGCAAAATGTCAGACCCCTCGAGTATTTTCGTATGATCTTCTTTCATCTCCAATTTTGATCTGACTTATTATTTTATATTACAAACACACATTAAAAAACTGAACTTTTAATAGCAGAAATAAACAGCAAAGACGTTGGGATATAATAAACAAACCTCTTATCAAACCAAAATTAACAAACAAATATTAAAAATAACGAAGGCTGTTTACTCATTATACAAACAAATTCTAATAAAGTAGCAAATATATTTAATAATTTTCTTATTAAAGTTATCAAATAACTCGACCAAAATAATAAAAAAACGTAAGAAATCTAAATCGCAACATCCATCTCATACTAATATTCCAAGTAATTCTTCTGTACGTACTTATAAGCAAATTAATGCAATAACTAATAAAATAATCCTTAAACATATTAACTCGCTAAAAAAAAAAAAAAATACCACACCAGGACACGAAAACATAACTACTGAAATGTATAAAAAAAGAACTCATCAGCACTCTTAAAACCACTATCATATATATTTAACCTATCCATATCTGTATATATCCAAATATATTTAAAACGATTATAGTAACACCTATTTTAAAAAAGGCAATAGGAACAATGTTGAAAATTATCCAATCATATCTTATTTTGTTATAGAAATCTATAAAAATAATAATAAAATTTAAT